GCAAATCACTAACCTTGTTTGCCTCAGTTTCCCCATATGCAAAATGAGCTGGAGAAGGAAATGGCGAAACCACTCCAGCATCTTTGTCAAGAAACCCCAAATGGAGTCACACAGAGTTGGGCATGACTGCTATGACTGAACGACCACCATGGGTCTTGAGGCAGCTTGGTGGCCCAGTGGATAGCGCACTGGCCTGGAGGCAGGAAGGCCTGGGTTCAAACCCAGCCTCAGACGCTTAGTAGTTGTGTGACCCTGGTCCGGTCACTTAACCTCTGCTTGCCTCAGTTTCCTCATCTGTAAAAAAAAGTGGGGATAAGAATACACCTACTTTGCAGGGTTGTTATGAGGAGAAATGAGATGATAGTTGTAAAGCACTTATCACAGTGCCTGGCACATAGTAGGTGCTTTATAAGTGTTAGCTCTTCTTACTATTTTCTTAGGCTTAAAAGAAGCTCAACCTGGATGAGCCCTTTTTCCGAGGAGGAGTGAAGAATGTTTCTCTTCCAAAGTTCCCAGGGAAGGAGAAAGAGGATTCCCCTGAAGCCTCTTCTTAAGGGGCTGCCCCAGGCACCGAGCTGCTCACAGTGCACGCTTGACCCCAGCCTTCCTGCCTGCTGAGCCGCCCAGGTTTCCACTCTACTCTGCTGCCTCTCGACCCACCGGTAGGACACAGAAAACATGTCCAAACAGCGCTAGGGGCATTATCTCTACTTATCTTTACAATAACCTTGTCTAGTAGGTGCAATTGTCATCCCCACTTTATAGATGAGGAAACAGAGGTAGACAGAGGTCAAGTGGCTTACCCATAGTCACACAGCTAGCACATGTCTCTGATGGGATTTGAACTCAGGTCTTCCTGACTCCACACCTGTGTATGTGTGTGTGTATGTACATATATGTGTATTGTATATATGTACGTATATATGTATATCTATGATGACACATTCTATTAAATACAACTAAAGCTTAAAATTGCTTTGGGACATTTGTGACCCCCTATGTATAGGATGTATAAATCCATGTATGTACATGCACACACACACACACACATATGCACAGATATACAGAAGGAAACAAAGTGAGGGCAAAGTTGTCTTTTGGGCTGAGAGAAAGCATCAATGATTGGGATGAAGACAGGCCTTATATAGGAAGTGATCCCTGAGCTGGGCCTCGGAGGGAGGGAGGGATTCCCATAGGTGGAAGGAATGCACACACCTGTACACAGGTAGGGACGGCGTGAGCAAAGGCCCACTGGTGGCCGATGGACGATCCATCCAAGGAATGGTGAGGAGACGCTTGGCTAGAAGGCAGAGCCCAAGGTGGAGAGGCCTGGAAAGAGGGCTTGGAGCCAGCCTGGGCAGGGCCTTTACTGCCAATCCGAGGAGTTTGCCCATAGAGGCAGCTGGTGGGCCGAGGGGGTCTCCCTGTCTGTCTTGTTCTCAGGAGGCATTTCGCAGATGTCTGGGGAACAGGACTACACGTCTTTCCTTCCTTCTTTTTCTTCTTCCTTTTTTTCTTTTCTTTTTTCTTTTTTTCTTTCCTTGTTGTTTTTTTTTTAACCCTTTCACCCACTGCCACATGCCATAAGTCCATGCCTGCTCTGCCAAGCCAGAGCCCTCGGCTTCTCTGCCAAGAGCTGCCCCCTAGACTCAGACCGCCTGAGCTCAGGGCAGAGCTTCCCAGGTCTTGCTCCACTCTGCAAGGGCAGACTCAAGGACACACTAGTCTCTGGACATTGGAGATGTCGGAGGCTTGGCCCGCGGGGGTACACAGGTGATACGGCCCCGCTTTGGGGGGCAGTGAAGTCCACTGTCCTTCTCCAGGACCCAAACACAGATCACCTCAACACTACTAAGTTTTGCGGCCAGAGAGCCGAGCCACACTTCTCTCCTGCCCGGCCCTTCGGAAAGGGGGTGCACAAGCCTGGTGTCTGGCCACTGCTCCTTTCCTTTTCTCTGTGGCCCATTTTCAAGAATCCCTCCAGCCTAACCCTGGGTGTGCAGCCCTCCCTCCAGATAAAGTCCAGTCTAACCTGTCGGGCCAAAAGCTCACTGAGCTGCACTCCCCCTACACACCCCTCCCCGCAAGCAGGCATTGGTCCCATTTGCTTGAAGGGATTTGGGGGAGAGCTCAGCTGAGTCCCTGCTTCACTCTGCCATCTTGGCTCCGCCTCCAACCCCATTTGCTTGAAATCCTGAAATGTGGGGATGCCTGAGCTTCAGCTCCCCTAAACTAGAGCAAAGCTCTGGACTGAGTCTCGTAGGCTGTCCTGGAGGGCGAGGATGGGGAAATTAATTAGGTAGTTTTAGGACCACTGAAATGAGAACCGCAGCACCCAAAGAGTGGGCATTGCTGGGCCCGTGCTGACTTAGAGAAAGGTCTTTAGGAGAGTGCCCCAGGGCTCTATGCTTGGCCGGGACTTTTAAACAGTCTTACCAGCGACTTGGATAATGGTATCAAGAGCAATTATTAGATACTTGCAGGTGACACCATGCTAGCAGAGATGATGAACACCCTGGCTAACGAGAGTCAGGACCCCTCTGATCATCCCGGCTAGGCCAAGCCGGAAACAGTTAAGATGATAAGGACCAAGGTCACCTCTGATGTGGACCCAGAAATCAGATGGGCAGGTGCAGGTGAGGCAGATGGGGTCAGAGAGCAGGTCACGTAAAGAATCCCCGGGGCTGGTGCTGGGGGGAGGGCAGGGCTGGGAGGTAGGGTGGTGCGGATGATAGGGGTGGGGCTGAGGGTGGGGTGGAGGGGATGATAGGGGTGGGGCTGGGGGGAGGGCAGGGCTGGGGGCTCCATGAGAATCAGCCACTGGACATGGCAACCAGCCAAGAACCTTCACACACAGGAGGCGATGCTTCCAGAAATCAGGAGGCAATAACACTTGTGCTCTACTCTTCCCTGGAGAAGAGAAGGCTTAGGTAAGAGATGACAGTGGCGTTCACATCTTTCCACAACGGTCCAAAGGAAGATGGACCTTGCTCTTGACTCCAGCACTAGGAGCTCTGGGTGGAAACTGCAGGGAAGTAGGTTGAGGATGGGGGTCAGGGAAGACTTCCTGCCAATGAGGGCTGCCCCAGAGTGGAGTGGACTGCCTAGGGAGCCGGTGGCTTCTCCAGCCCCGAGCGTGTCAAGCCCAGTGTGGAGCCCCACTTCTCCCAAAGATTGGAGAGGGGATTGCTGCTCTCCAGCCCTGAGCAAAGTGGTTGTCATTCAGCCGTTCAGCCGTGGCCACTGCTTTGTGACCCGGTGGCCCAAAGCACTGTGGGCCTTTCCAACACGACGGGCTCATCTTCCAAAGTCATCTCTTTTAGCATTTTAATACTGGCCAAGGGGTTTTCTTGGCCAAGAGACTGGAGAGGTTGGCCATTTCCTTTGCCAGTGGATCACCTTTTGTCAAAAAAACAAAAACAAAAACAAAACCTTAGCAAAGTGTCTGGTGCTTAATAAGTGCTCGTTGATAACTGACTGACTGCTTGACAGTTCAGGGAGAGGTTAGATTCTATGACCTCTGAGGCCCCTCCGAAGTCTGAGGTTTTACGATTCCTCAACCTCGAAGCCTCTGTCCCCACCCACTCCAATGACACCTTCTCCGGGGCTGGGCTTCGGAGCCTTTTGGTGTGTGCCTTGGACCCTTCCTTCCAGCAGGCTGGTGAAGCCCATGGGCCCTGTCTCAGGATCATATTTTTGGATGCAGAAGATGAGACATAGGATTACAAAGAAACCAAGTACAGTGAAATACAGTCACCAAAGTAGCTTTGAAGACAAATTCAGGGCCCAGGGTTAAGAAACCCTGCTCTGGGATTTAGGAGAGAGCTCCCAGCTGCGTCATTTGGAGATCTCTTTATTAGGAATCCTTCCGTTCCTCTGCTCCTTGCCCCCAGTTAGGCTGAAACAGCCCTTTGGGAACAAGAGGGTGCCCAGTACTTCATCCTTCCCTTGAAGCCGACAGGGCCCTTGCTACCTGTGGGATGGGCACAAAAGAATCCATGGAGCCAGAGGGAGTGTGACTGAATAAGTGAAGGAAAGCCCAGTGTGGCCCAGGTTTTCTTGGGGGGATTGCTGAGGCCAAGGCAGAAAGGAGGAGTCAGATTCCAGTCCTGCATGCCTCCTGTGACCCCACTGAGCAGTCATTTTTTTTAACCTCGCTTGGCCTCCCCAGTTTCCTCATCTTTAAAATAAGGGGTTGATGAATTCAGTTCTATTCAAAAAGCATGTATTAAGTACCTGTTCTAGTATGTGCAGGACACTGTGATTCCAAAGAAAAACAACACAGCCTATGTCCCCAAGATGCTTATATTTCAGAAAGACTAGTTTTGGTGCAGAGGGCGTGGGTTCAAATCCTGTCTCTTCTACTTATTGCCTGTATTGACCGGGATAAGTGTCTTCCCTTCTCTGAACCTCAGTCTCCTCCTCTGTCAGAGGAGGGGGTAAGAGAAGATGACCTCTAACCTATGGTCTGGCACTGAACCTGCCTGGACCTCAGTTACCCCATTTGGAAAATGAGAAGGCTTGTTTGGATGGCCCCCCTCAAATGTCTGATCTTATAGACAGCCATAGATCCAGGGCCTTCCCACCCCTCACTTAACAGAAGGGGAAATGAAGGGCACTTTTTGTGCATTGCCCCAGATCCCCAGGTGGTGAGCCCCCAAGAATGCTAGAGCCAGGGCTCTTCTCTCTGGGCTGCACTGCTCAGTCTTTTCCTCTAGGAACGCCCCTGGGCCTCAGCTTTCCTATCTGGAAGACGAAGAAGGATCCATTGGATGCTTCTGGATCCGCTATTCTGCGGCTCTAAGTAAGGCTTCCTCTTCTAGCCCGGCAGGGGGCGGCAAGGAGGCCTCCAAACTACAACCCCCACAAGGCTTTGCGAGACGGGCTCGTGCTCCTCCTGGCGGCAGGCGCGGACGCGCAACGCGGTGCACTGTGGGAAGTGCAGTTCGTGCGTAGGCGCATGGGACGCCGAGGCGACGGGCGCCCCCGCACCAAAATGGCGGCGCTCCGCCGCACCCTCCTCGTTCGCTTCCCGTCGGGGTCGTGGGGCCGGGGGGCAGGGCGCTAGCGGTGAGCGGGGGCCCGGGGGCAGTGGGGAGGCCACTCTGGGAGGGCGGGGGCCAGATCGGGACAGGGCCTGGGCATCTCCGCCCCCATTCTTCAGGTGGGGAAACTGAGGCCCAGAGTGGGGAAGCCCTGGTCCAGAGTCACCAACTGACGCCGATGCGAGCCCCGGGTCTGGACTCAGGGCCCCCCCCGCAGAGGCCGGCAGAGGGGGCTGAGCGTTCAGGGAGGGATTGGAACCCACAGCAGTGGCGCTCACCCCGGGGGAGGGGGGGGATGGGGGTGGGGACGGAGCGTCTCTGGGCTCGTGGTCTGTGTGTGTGGAGGGGGGGGAGGAGTGGGAGGGCCGGGGGCGGGGCCGACTCTGGGTCACGTGGAGCAGATCGCCCCCCCCAAGGGCGAGGGTCAGACACCGAACGTTGCAAACACATTGAAACATTGTTGCCCCGCCGGGGCTCCCCCTCCCCCGCAGTCCCCCAGTCCCTCCCCCCCCCCCGGGAGCCATCATCCCCACACTACGGAGCAGC